CTGCAGCCCGGCGGGGGAGCCCGAGGCGGACGCGAGGCGGCTGGCCCTTGGCGCCCGGGCGACCGCATCCTGTCAGTTTGGTGCCACGTGCCCGGCCTCACGGCCCCGAAGGCCACTTAGGGAGCTTGGGCTCGAGCGTGCGAGTGTGTGGCCAGTGTCAGCCGGCGACTCTGAGCCAGGCCGTCGCCTTCCCCTCCCGGCGCGAGGCCCTGCCGGGCAGCCGGGGCCCTGGGCCCGCGGGGTGGACTCTCCGCCCGCAGCACAGCGGGGCCCCGCCCAGGCGGTTTGCAGCCCCTGTGAGTCCGTGCCCAGCGTAGGCGCTGGCGGCCAGGCCGACTCCTGGTAGTGGACCTGGTGAGCCAGGGCCTCACCTCAGGCCCCTGGGGTCCACGGCGCCCCTGGGCTCGGCCAGCGAGACACAGAAAACCACCACGGGGGCGGGCAAAGCGGCCTGCAGAAGCCGCTCACAGCCAGAGGCCTGCAGGTGTCAGGTGTGGCCCCCGGCGGCCGCGTCCTCGGCGTGGACTTGGCTTTGTTTGGATTACAGCTGGCGGGAGAGTGGGGTCTGGCCCGTGGCTGCTGCCCACCACGGCCTCGGGCAACAGTCGTTAGGTCAGCATCTCTGAACTGGCGGTTTCCGCCTTGGGCCAGCGGCGGTGCCTTCCCCGTGAGAGCAGTTTTGTGGCTTGGGGAGGACGCGCCACCTTTTGATCCCGGGTCACGTGGAAGTGTCCCGAGAAGTCAGCTGAACGGCCGCGACGCGCGTGGCCGGAGTGCGCGGGGGCTGGCCGTCCTCCGGGCACACGCAGCGGGCGGTGAGCGCGAGCCACGGGGCGTGACCTGGCCAGCCGAGACCCGGGACACGCCTGTTTTCTTGTCTCTAACATCTGATACTAAATTACTGAGGATGAGAGAAAATCGCTGCGTTGACTTGAGCGCTGATTCCCACCGACCTGCAGGTCAGGTGCGGACGACGCGGGGCTCTGAGCCGCTGCTCCCAGCCGCCCAGCCGAGCGGGCGCCGGCTTTCTCCTCGACCCCTCCCTTGTTTCCTTTTTAATACTGTGTCTACTTTTTCTTTATGACTTACCCTGAGTTTTTTCTTTTCATCCCTGTTTCCGTCTGCCTTTCCTCCTCCGGTTCTTCCTTTTGTTTCATGCGCGGCCCTTGTAACTGTTCTGCAAAGCTGAAATATCTCTGATGTTTCTGAATAGCTAAAAATATTAAAGTCATTTTAAGGATAGCTTCAACTCTTTCTGAATTCGCAGGACTCAGCAGCCGGGAGGTTCAAAATGGGACAGCTAATGTGCTGACGTCAGCAGCTAAACTTGCAAGTCTCTGTGTGAACAGTTTACTTAGGAGTCCTTCACATCTACGTACATAAACTTACCGTTTGCACTTCGTTCTCTTTTTCTTTGGAGCCAGATGATTTGGCTGTGGGCTTGCTGTACAGACACCGGTCGCTCCGTAGTTACGTTGTCTGCTGTAGGAAGCCCTGGAACAGCCCGCGCCAGCTGCTGCAGCGCAGGGCCCGGCGGCCCCGGGGCCCACCCCGGCCCCCTCTCGGGTCCACGTGGTGTCTGCGGACTTGGCCCGTGATACAGCAGTCGGCTAGAACTCTCCTAACTTCTGTGGGGCTGGGGAACGGGAAATTACCATACCCTTGAACTCTGCAGACTGTTTTCTGTTTCTGAAAATTTAGTTGCATTAAAAGTTATTTTCAGCTGATGTAAGTAGCGCGGGCAGGGATGAGCAGATGAGCAGGGCCCCTGCTGGGGAGATGTTGCCACAGAGAATAGCAGTGGCTTCTCTACATGAAGGGTTACTGGGTGGGAGAGAAACTCCGAATCTCTAATGTCGTAATGCCATTCTTTTCATCTGGAAAACACACACGCGAGGTTTCAAACCCAGCCGTGCAAACGGCATTGCTGTCCAGCTTTTGCTACCTCTGTGTCATGACTAACGCATGACATACAACTCCCGTTTCTCCGGCAGTCGCCATGTGGTGTCTGTCAGGCTGGATACATCCTCTCCTTCTGTGCCGGTCTTTTTTAAGCTCCCACAGTTACACTGTTGTGAAACTCTCTCCCTACAATTTTTATGTTCTTGAGATCTATCAGTTATGCACTACAGTCTAGAACATCTCTTGGCCTCAAAGCTAAATTTTCCTGTGGCCTAGGAGGGCTTTTTTCACAAAAACTGCCTCCTTGACAGCTGAGATTGCAGAAAGCCTTAGTATCCCGCCAGTCACCGCTCAGCTTGCAGCACTGGTTTTTTTAGGATAATTAAAAATCATCACCACTTTAAGAACCTCCAGGGCCATTGAGGCGTGGTGCTGTTTCATACACTCCGTGCTCACTCTCAGTCTCGCCAGGTCCAGCCCGTCAGTGACCCCCGCACGGCTGAGTTACGGCTTCAGCGTGTTTAGGGGGGCCAATCTGGAAAAACCTTCACAGGGCAGACTAGTGGGGATGTGTTTTTAAGAACTTTGTTGAAACAGCACATAGAATGAAGAAAGTGCACAGCCTAAAGGATACTGTGACCTCTCAGCAGTTTGTGAAGAAAATAGATTGAGTTGTACGCAAAAATTTTCGCTTCAGTAAGAAAATCTTCATGTGGATTAGACCCTCAATCGTTTCTTTAGTTTCCCAAGCCTGATTCCTTTTTTTACGGAATAAAATTCCTTTTACTCTAGGTAGTCCTGCAAGGCAGGTGGCGTTGCGCTTACTTTCCCAAGGACAGAGCCAGGGGTCAGAGGTTAAAGTGCTTGTCCAGTGCACTAGTGCCTGTGGGCTGAGAACGCCGCTCCAGGCGCAGCTCTTTCTGCTGCAGCAGTGAGTTTCACAGAAGCGATTTCACTCTGAAATCCAGGCCTGGCGAAAATAAATTGAAAGCACTTGGAGACGATGGCCGTTGCTAGTTGACCGTCACAAGGACTCCAGCCGCCGTGGGCGAAGACACCGCCCTCCACGGCTGCGTGGCTCCTGTCGTGGGTCCGGCGGTGGCCTGTTCTGGGCGGCCTGCCGCAGGCCGCTCGCAGTGGCCGTGCCCGTCTGCCCAACAGCTGCTGCCCGGGCGGCGGGTCATTGCACCTGTTTCGGTTTCCGCGCCTGTCCGATGGATCGGCCGTGCACAAGTAGAGTTGTGAGGGCCGGAAAGGGAATGCCGTCAGGTCTGGGCCTGGCGCCTACATGGAGTGGGACGGACCGTTTTGGCACAAGGCAATCGGGAGATGGGCAGAGTGCCATGCCGCACCTGAAGGCGGCCTGTTGCCGGGAGCCAGCGCGTGTCGGCACTGCTGGGCACACGGACGTCGGTGCCGCCCGGTTGGCCTTGGGCCGGTGCTGGCCCTGCGCACCCAGCGCCCAGCTAGAGGCAGCGCTGGCCCGTGGCGAGCAAGCAAACTGCTGGGAAACAAGGGCAGGGCCAGCGGGACCAGAGCAGGCGGCCTGCTGCGCGGGCTCGGGCACTGCTGCTGCCCAAGGTAGCGGGAGCCGGGGTTTGCATGGGCTTGGGCAGCAGGTGGCTTGGGATGGCCACAGGCTGCCCGCTGCCCTGCAGGTGACTTGGGGGGGTGGGGGTGGGGCTGCTGAGTGCGTGAAAGCAAGCTGACCTGGGGCCGCGGGCTGCAGGCGATTGCCCAGAGGCCGCAGGAGCTGGGCTGGTCGTTCTGAGACGGACTGAGCTGTGGGCTTGAGCTTGACGGGGCAGGGATGCCTGCTGGGGGGGGTGGGTGGCAGGCGACCCTCGAAGGTCTCCACCATCGAGGCAGCAGCTGTGTGGCCGGCCCAAAGTGTGGGTGCTTTGCCCCAGAGGCGGTGCCGCCGGCCAGGGAGGCCTTGCCAGCGGCTGCGGCCGGTGGAGGGCGGACGGCGGAGGGCACGGCCCGGCG